CTTAATCGAAATTCTTTAATGTGAGGAGAGTAATGCTGGTAAAACAAAGGGCTTGACTGGTGCGCACCTTTTAGGAGTTCATGTCTAGTGTCTGCACAACTAGGATCCCAGTAGTATATTCCAGTTAAGTTTGCCGGTTTTTTCCCCGACGTCCGGTTGTCATATCTTGCATTTCACAAGTACGAGGCATCCATGGCTAGGGGTTTTCGGAAGTCGATATGNTTTGACGCATGTGGCATGCATCGAGCGGATTACTAACTTCAATGTAATCGGTCGTGTATTTAGGACTGAAGCAGTGAAAAATTCGTCACTCCATCGAATTCAGATTAGTCGGCTTCGCTGTTTATGACACTTAATGCACCTGCCTAACAGTATAGCCTACCGCAACGTGTCTGATTTGCAGTTCTTACTCGAGGCTTGAGAAATTCCGTGGAGATCAACAGATGACGTGGAGACGGCGGATGAGGAATCGTATTAGATAGGGTAGGTGTCCCTCAATTTAGGGAATGGAATCCCAAGGACTCTCTGACTGGTTTGTACAGAGACACTCACAGAAAAAGCAGCCAACCGACAACAGTGGTGTATTTGTTGTCAAGTTTATCAGGTCATAACGCTTGAAAAAGTGCATATATATAGTTTATCTCCTTACTTCCTTTAATTTAGATCCATTCCAAATCTACCCTACACATTAATATTTACTTTTCGTCTGTTGTGAGTTCGGTAGAGATCAGTGAAACTCGTTTTTACCGTATTCCGCTTCACGATAGTGATGATGACATCGAAATTTTACGACAGTAAATTTGGCAGTAGTAATAATAATGATAAAGAAGTACGGCTACATAAATGGGGACCAAGAGAAAGATCTCAGATAAAGGATGCAACCCCACCACTTATTTAATCTCAGGCCGTTTCACTGTTTAGTTGCGGCAAGTATACATGTTCGGAGGGCTCCTTACCGAATCATAATCACAGTTCTAAGGTAGGCTAGGTTCAATACCAGAAATAAGTTCACAAAAATGCTTCCAGTGTAACTTTGAGTTCCCGGGTTCCATTCAGAGACGTGTCGATGAATTCTTACGGAGGATTGAATCCGGCAAGTACAAAACAACATTTCGGTTTGCATATTTCAGGTTTTCTTCCTGCTTTCGTTTAAAAAGATTGTGCATAATGCCAGTTTGTAAATATAGATAATCCAAATGAAACCTTATTTATAACGCGTATGTACCATATGTTGTCCAATTTTTCATTTTAAGAAATACATAGAATTGATGCAACGATATCGATGGAAGATTGTTCCAATACTTCATGAGGATAAACAAAAAATGCAAAAGTTACAGTTAGACGTTTAAGTAAATATACTAATTAATAACCTACTGTATCACTGCATCTGGAAACGCAGAGATCAAAATCAATCAATCACCGAGTTCTATAATTCACCTGTACAACTAACATGCGTCAGGTTTTGCCATGTATGGAACACGATAACATATTTTTTTAAATGAATCAAATGATTTTGTGCCCAATGACTTAATTATTGTTGAAATCATTGAAAAATTAAACAATATATTTCAACGACTCAACCAAATTATTGATTGGTTATTTAATGTTTCCCTTCTTTCCTTA